CTTTAGTTTCACTGGGTGTACATTTTACGTTCTCTTAAAATATAGGTTTTTATTAGTGTAATTGGTGTGCACTCTAGTGGCTGTCTGATAAAAAGACATCTGCACAGGTTAGGCCATTGCACTGTATTAAAGGAGAACTATGGGGTTAAGGCTTTTCCCCATAGTTCTCCTTAGGGTAACGGGAGGACACAAACTAGCGTCCTCCCGTCACCCTAGGCTCAGTATACCGTGAGCTGTAGCTCGCGGTATACTGAGACGACGCAGTATACCTAGAGCTGCTGCTCGCAGTATACTGAGATGCCGCAGCTGAAGCGGATCCCGACAATTGTGCCGGGATCCGCCCAGCTGCGTGACTGACAGCTGGCTCTGCCTATCTAGAGGCAGTGCCAGCTGTACCCGCCCCCTCCCCCGTCCGTTCCGCCAGTCAGCGCTGGCAGATCGGAGGTGGGAATCCAGCCCCTCCCCTGTCACGGCAGAGAGCCGTGACAGGATCGAGAGGTGAGCGAACGCCGGTATGTGTTCGCTCACCTCCCTATCTACTGAGCCGACCTGTGACAGTCTCATTGTCACAGGTCGGCTAGAACTATGAGGTGAGTGAAAAGTACTCACTTTCTGGCGCCAAATTCATTAAAGCCATGTTTTGGCCATGAGCCAAGCCTGATTCTAATTGTAAACTGATTAGGGGTGTATTTTACAAACCCCCGAACATAAGGGAGGAGGAGACTCGCTTACACTCCCAAATATAAATAGCTGGGAAACAGGGAACTGTTGTTATAATGGGTGACTTCAATGATCCGGACATTGATTGGTCACACGATACCGCTCACTCTACACTGAGTGGCCAGATTATTATGACCACCCCATCAGTACTTCGTTGGACCATGAGATGACTACACGAGATGACTTTCGGCTGACAGTCCAGTCTTTAAACACTTTAACAACAGCTGCTCTTGAACATTTAACGAATACTGCTGTTTTGCTGATACTCGCTCCATGGCTCCGAGCGCCAACAATCATCCCACTCTCAAAGGCTGTTAAATCGCGTTGTTTACCCATATCTTCAGAAAAAAATCACGTCTACTGTCGTGGTAAACAAACTGCTTCCCTATTTATAATGGTCTGGCCCTCTAGCAACTTCAGCGCGAAACTAAAGCTAATTTGCCTACAAACGTCAGGTGGTCATAATAAACTGGCCACTCAGTGCATAAAGGCTGGCTGTTTTCTAAAGCTGTTAGACAATTTCATGGATCCGATAGTTGAGGTCGCGACCAGGAAGAATGCAATTCTGGATGTATTAATCACTAATAATGCGGACCTAGTTGAGGACATAGAAATTAGGAATACATTGGGTAATAGTGACCAAAGGATGATTAATTTTAATGTTGGGTACAGAAAAGAGAAGTGTGTTGATCTGGCAAGAACGCTAAATTTCAAAAAGGCAAACATTGATAAGCTGCGGCATCTAGTGTATGACACTAAATGGGACAACTTATTTCTAACAATGAACACTGATGAGTAGTGGGATTGTTTTAAGAATACATTATGCAATGCTATTACCAAGTGCATACCATCGGGTAACAAAAATAAAAGATCGACAGCTAAGTATGCATAGCTAAATAAAACTGTAAAAACGCATCAAAGACAAAAAGCCGGCATTTAAAAAATATAAGATGGAGGGGACTGCATTGGCATTCCAGAGCTACAAGGAATGCAATAAGAGATGTAAACATGAAATCCGGTCAGCTAAAATAGATTACAAAAAAGCATTTTGTCACAGTCAGTAAGAAGAACCCCCAAAAATTCTACCAATATATAAACAGTAAAAAGGTAAGATAAGAGCAGGTAGGCCCAATAAAGGAGGAGAACGGGAGATTAGTCACAAACGACAGGGAGAAGGCTGAGGTATTACATTCATTTTTCTCCTCAGTATACACTCTAGAATAAGACGGGGTTAATAAAGATATAAATGTGAGTAGCTCAATGTGTAAAATACCGCAGTGGTTGACAGTAGCTGGGGTTCAATAAGACTTGAAAAGCTTAATGCAAATAAATCAATAGGACCAGATAACCTGCACCCCAGAGTACTTAGAGAGCTTGGCCATGTTATAGCGAGAACGTTATTCCTCATTTTCAATGACTCATTAATGACAGGAAGGGTACCTGGCGTAAGGCAACGGTAGTACCGATATTCAAAAAGGACTCAAGATGCCAACCTGGGAACTACAGACTGGTCAGTCTAACATCGATAGTACGCAAACTGTTTGAGGGAATGATAAAGGACTATTTAGTGGATTTTGTTTGTGACAATGGTGTAATAAGTGATAATCAACATGGATTTATGAAGGACCGTTCTTGTCAGACCAACCTACTGACCTTCTACGAAGAGGTGAGTAGAGAGTAGAGCTGTACGTGCCGGCCGTTTCTCATGTGAATGAGGCTTAACTGATATGCATTGCTTTGTGGCAGTTTCTGTAAAATAGTTCAGATATGTTTTTCTTATGCATTGACCTGCATTAAGGGGCCAGTGGAAATCAATGAGAGCTCAGGAAAATGTATTGTTACCAAGATCCGCCCCTGGCAATAGCCCACGTGCTCTTGGCACACCACTGTAGATGCTTATCACCCAATTTAAGAAATTGCAAAATGACACATTGAAAAAGGCATACAAAATATATGAAAACAGAAGTGCCTATGTGTAAAGCCACCATAATGTTTAAAGCAGAACTCCAGATAGAATAATTTTAACCCTTGCACTGGCACTAGCCCCGCACTGCAAGGTTTAAGCGCTCGCTTTTGTCTAGGTGCTAAAAAAAACCGTTATACTCACCCGAGGAGCTGGCTTGCTGTTAGACTGGTCCCTGGAGCCTCTCTCCCCTTCTGCAGCAGCGGTCTAAGGTCTCATAAATCATCACGTTCTATACAATGTGTATAGACGTTAGGACACTGAGGAACATTCCAATGCTGCAGTGTAGGAGGAGAACCAGGCAGCCGGTTCAGGTGAGTATAACCTTTTTTTTAGCAGCTAGACCAAAACTAGCACTTAACCCATGTAATACGGGGTAGCCCCACTGCAAGGATTAAGAACACTTTTGCCCTGAGTTCTTTAATTTTGTTGGGGGTGGCATTCGGAATCAATGGCAACACACATGTACCTGCGTATTACTGTGCATATTGATAATGCACCCTTAGTGACAACCTTAATTTAATGAGTCTGTAGAGAGAGCTGTCCATAGACTTGCTAAAGGGAATATAGAAGTTTTTTCAAGTTTCTCAACTTGACATGTAAAGGTACAAAAGTTTGATGTAAACAATCACTGCGTGTTCATGTTTTAGAAAGTTTTGTTTCTAGAAATAGGTTGTGATTATATAAAGTAAACTCCCAGTTATCTGACACACACGGAGAACAATAGGTGCCATATAACAGTAGTTTCTGGTTGCTTCCGCAGCCGACAGGTGAATGTAAGCAGCCGGAAGCAATAGCCAGACTACTATTGGCTATTTCACATTGCAATAGCCAATAGCAGGCTGGCTATGGCTCCCCATTGTTTACATTCTGCTGCCAACCGAAGAATATAGCCACCGGCCAGGAGCAAGATGTACACAAAGAATTTTGTAAGCAACTAAATAAATGTAATTGCTAATTAAATTTTTTAGTGTGCACCAAGCAACCGGCAATTTTTTAGAGTGCATCAAGCCAACGGCAAAAAAAAAAATCAAGGACATATGTCCTCCATCTTCTTTTTATTTTATTTTTTGCCAGTTACTCGACAGAGTCAGTTGCTTGAATGCCGGATAACGGGGAGTATACTGTATTGCAGCGGGCCCAGAGGCGGACAGGGCGGTCTACACTGGGCACTGCCTCTCGAACTCTGCTTAGTGGATTCATTATATACAGCAGGTCCTGCAGCCCCTGGCACTACAGTCGTGGTGGTGGCTCTGTCAGGCTGACTGATCATCGTCAGAAAGTGAAACTATAGGGGGGGTTGTTGAGATAATGGAACAGTGGGCAGCGTCAGAATTCACATAAATACAATTAGCACTGATTAAAGTCCTCTCAGTAAGAACTATGCAGACACACACACATCACTAAAACTGATTAGAAGGATCAGAAAAGAGACGCTGTAGAAAAAAACGCTCGTCACTGGAATTGGGCTTCAAAACATGCTGATAATATTATTTATTCTAAGATGATCGCCAATTGCATATTCAATTTAAAAAAAAAAACAACTGGATTTATTTTTACAAACCTGTACAAAATCAGGCCATCTGTCCCTTTTGTTTGACAGAAAAAGACCTCAGGTCCCTCTGCTGGCTTGTTAGACATTTTAACTGATGAGAGACGGACAAGAAACATTGAAGTGAGTAAAACTACAGGCGGGCAGATGACAGGAAAACACTGAATTGGTAAGAAGCATTTTAGTAGCATTATGATGTCATCTGTGTGATATAATACTGTATGGTTAGCAGCCATAGTTGTATATGTGTATCCTATTTTTCTTTGAAGCAATGGCAGGAATAATGTTGCCACGGAATGGTGTTTTTTTTGTACCTGAATATATTAAAATGCCACCATGGATGGAAAGCAGGTTCCTTTAGGTCAGGGGTAGCCAAACTCCGGCCCTCCAGCTGTGGTGGAACTACAAATCCCACAAGGCATTGCAAGATTCTCACAGCCTTAGCCATGACTTCCGGAGAGAGATGCATCATGGGATTTGTAGTTTCACCACAGCTGGAGGGCCGGAGTTTGGCTACCCCTGATTTAGGTGTATGCACCTTCAGAAAGCTGCTTGGAGGCCCTGAGAGTCCTTAAACCTGGATCACATTGTTATGCATGTCTAAACAGTAAAAATCACATTCCAACCTTTTTTGCTTTACCATTGGTCACTGAGACTCAATCTAGGACACCATTAGTGAGGTACAAATGCTCTTGACAGATTGCTCTGTATTTACATTTTGAACAAATATTTTCTTTCTTTACAGCTGAATAGAAGACATTTTGGTCTTCATAATGAGCACTGCAATAAGTCAAAGAAGGCCAAGAGCTCATCATAGATTCAGCAAGGTAACAGAGAGCCTGTACCTTAGTAACAACAAAGCAGCCTACAATAAGACTCAATTACAAGCTCATGGGATCACTTGTGTAATCAATGTGTCCTTAGAGGGTCCTGTTGGTACCCCTCCTGTCCCAGAGTATTTCCATTTTTCTGTAGCAGATATTCCAGAGACCCCTTTGTGTGACTACTTTGAAACTGTAGCAGATAAGATCCATGAAGTGGAAGCAAATGGAGGATGCACATTAGTACATTGTGTAGCTGGTATCAGCAGATCTGCTACACTCTGCCTCGCGTATCTAATGAAGCATGGTGCAAATACCTTGCTGGAGGCACATACCCACTTAAAGAAATGCAGACCCTTCATTGAGCCCAATATTGGTTTCTGGGGCCAGCTCATTGCCTATGAACTGAAATTGTATGGGAGAAATACAGTCCATTTAATCACATCTCCAATAGGAATTATACCATCTGTCTCTGAAGAAAAGACAAAGAATATGATTCCACTGTGAAAGGAAAATGATTGACTGGAATAAGGAAAATATAAGGTACAATATCTTACACCGGCTTTTTTTTTTATTTTTGTAAGCCTCTTTTATTAAAGCATGGACCAATTAAAATATTTATTGATGACAACAAATATGTATCTTCAGATATGGTTCATTAGAGCGTGTTTGTGTGTGACTAATGTAATATACAAGTATGACTCGTCATACAAACCATTCTGTTTAGAAAGGGATTCTATCTGTGAAGGTTCTCATTGAACTTGGTCATGGTATAGCTAATAGTAGTTATTCACTTTCAGCTGGACTTGTTCTTTAATCTTGATGACATTTCACAGCTTAACCAAGCAGCTTCTCCAGTTCTAACGAGTATTGGAAACATCCCTGGCATTTGACAGACCCCACACTCCAGCTATGGGTGCCCGTGTGTACCTTACGATAATCGTATGATAATCGCGGGAAATCCCGCGATCGTACGATTATCGTAAGGTGTGTGGAAGCCGTGCGACCTCTACTACTGTAAGGTAGTAGAGGTCGCACTTTACTACTGTAAACATGTTCGAAAACCCGCCGAGCATCGTACGATGTTCGGCGGGTGTGCAGCATGTTCGTAAAATAAAAGCCGGACAGGCCGGTGTGCGCAAGTGCACACTGCCCGTTCGGCATTGCCGTCATCGGAAGCCCGCCCCTCAGGGGGCGCGGCTTGCGATCATCGCAAGTACAATCTGCCTGTCCAAGATAGGCAGATCGTACGTTTTTTTTAATTACTTTACAACCATCGCAAGACAAAAGTCTTGCGATGGTTGTAAGGTGTGTGCCCAGCATATGAAAGACCATATGTAGGCACAATACAACTACAGTAGACAAGGTCCAGTAGCATGATTTGGGTAGAAAATAGTTGCACATGCACACTGCTCTATGGAGAACCTGTCTGAATTAACCAGTGCATGTGTGTGATGGATGAAAATCAATCATATTTGGGTCATCATGTATTGATTAGAAATCCTCCTGTATGAATACAAGAAAAGTATGGAAGAATTTCTGTGTACTGGAATTCTATATAGCTGGGCTGGCCTGCCCAACATATTCATTTTCTAATGCTCTACTTCTATTTTTACTGTTTTTATAAAAACCTATTTTCACTAACAGCAGGAAGTGGCTACCTTATTAGGTGGAACAGCTAGATGACAAAGAGACTTTTTTTGTCTGAAGGTAGGTAATAAAAAACACTGACTGATTCCCAAAATATCCAAACTAAAGTGTATTTTTAGTTATGGTATGGACACAAGGAATCAATATCTTAATATTTTGGTAGTTTTTGAGCATTTAATGTCAGCAATTTTTAACTCAATGTATGCAATAATTTAAATATTTAGTCTTGCATTATAACTGTCAAGACTTTCTCATGAAAGATTTATATGTCCACCTTGTTTAGCTTTCCCTGGGCCTAACACTTCAGCTTAAGTGCAAGAGGTCACTTGCAGTCTGACAGTAGCTACTACATGGCCTCATACCAGGGGCGTAACTAGAAATCCCAGGGCCCCATAGCAAAATTTTGTAAGGGCCCCCCCAACAAAACCCCCCGCCCCAATTTTAATAGAAATGCGCTGATCAGCACGTTTTAATTTCAGCGCTGAAACGCGACTAAAAACAGCCAAAAATGCTCTTTCAAAAATTGTGCAGAAACCACGGTGAAACGCTTCCGCCCTGGTGTGAGTGGCGCCTGAATGAGGCCTAACACTTTACTTTATTACTGCCACACCAATGAGAGGCTGAGGAAAGGGGGACTATAAAAAAAAAAATGAAGGAACGCTAAACTGTAAATAAGCGATTTATGTTATAAATGATTTTTGCGGTGTTTGTGTTGTGATAAAATGATACCGGCGTATATTCAATTACAACACAAGGTATTACAACGCACGGCAATGCGTCACAAAGCTTTGCCATGCGCTGCCACAGTTAAACTAATGTTTTTTACAAAAGAAAAAAATCATGCATAAGGGGGTCCAGCCCACCTAGTAATTTAAAGCCGAACTCCAGACACAAAACCTTTTAAATTATCACTGTGCTGCACATAGCCTGCACAGACAGCAGAGCAGAGCTGCGGGAGGGACCCAGCAGGCCAACCTAATATAGGCTGCCTGTAGAAAACTAGAGGAGGGCGGATACAAGACCAGTCACCATGCACAAGGAGAGAAATCAGCAATGACTGGTCTTTATGACAGGAAGCTCCTGCACAAAGGGGAAGTTTCACCTACCTTTCATCTACCTGCAAATATACCAAACATTATATACCAACATTTATAAATGTCTGTATTTATAAATGTTGTTTTGTCTTAAAGTGTAATGTTATTTTAAGCTTTGTTGAAAACAATAAAAACTTTTGAAAGTTAAATATACCAAAATAGGCAGGTATAAAGGCTGAGACAGGGCTTTTGGGCCTGGAGGCAGTATGGGGAAAATCGACACCTCAGGTCCTGCAAGCCAAAGAAGTGGTAGGGCCGCACATAGCAGAGGCCAAGCATGTCTGCAGTTTCTGGGCAAGAAAGGCCAACCAATCTAGTGACAGCAAGTCCATTAAAAACTCGATGTCCACTTAAGACTACCCTGTCCACAGGCTTTAAGACTTTGTGAATTAAGTCACAGGGTTACACTGCTACAATGCCATTTCACTGCATCATAAACTGTGTTGGCACACTGATAAGAACTGGAAAAATAATGAATCTAGTAGCAGGATTCACATGTAATCTTTTACAGTGCTAGTGGCAGCCTGAACTATATATGTCATTTTTTATTTGGCCCATAGATCCACTTTTTAACTTTACTTACTTTCTTTCTCTGTGTCTGCAACTTCAGCTTGAGTGTGATATCCAAGAGGTTATCTGAAATCTGACAGTTAATGTAGTTTTAACTGTCTGACCTGCTGCTGAGACTAGGTAATAACTGGCATTAATCTCAATTCACAAAGCTAACACCCCGACATAGGTGTCCCTATTTATATTAGCCCTAGGGGCATCCAGAGGCTACATCCAGAGGCTGCCCTTGCCGGAATCATGTTAGAGTACCTCCAGGATCTGCGTATGCACAACCAGGGGCATGGCTGGCCCTGCTCATCTGTTCCGCACACCAGTTAGTGGACTTTTGGCTATGGTTGGTCATGCTCAAAGGTGTGCATGTGCATGACTTCGCATGCATCAGTGTGCATGTATTAGCATGCAATTAGCATTCATCTCTGACACTGGGCGTTCTTACTGGCCTAGAGGGTATTTAAGCCTTTTCCTTTCTGGTGGCTGGTGCTGTGACTTCTTGTCAGCTACTCTATAGCGCCAGAGCGCTACAATACTAAATCTATCATCTGCCCTTGTCGACCTGGATTGATCTGTCTACACTTGCCTGCCTGTTGCCGACTTAGATTGACCTAACTACTCTTTTGCCTACCACAACCTCTGCCTGGACATGACTACTCTGTTACCTGCCACGTCACGTCTTTATAGACCTGACTACTGTCTTGCCTGCCACAAGCTTACTACTGTCTTGCCTGCTACCTGCCACGACCTCTGCCTTTGACCAGACTACTCTCTTGCCTGCCAATTTGTGGACAGTTCCGGCACTGTAGCCTATCTGTTCCTGCCACCGCCTTGGTGAAGCGATCCTGAGGGCCTCGACCTGGTGCCAGTTTGACTGTAACTGTTACTTAGTCCGCATCATCTGTCGGGGGGCACCGTAACAGGCCTATGTTCTTAGGTCATTTTGTCTTCTGGTCAACTATTCTTCAAATATTATGGGCAGTAATAAAAAAACTTAACCTAACCACTGAACTATCACTTTCTCAAACAATCATCCTCGCACAGCTACCTCCTCATGTGTCACTTACCCCTCCCTTTAAGATTGTAAGCCCTCACGGGCAGGGCCCTCCTTACCATCTTGTCTTAAAGTGTATTGTGATTGTAATGTCTTCCTTATATTGTAAAGCACTGCGCAAAATATTGGCGCTATATAAATCCTGTATAATAATAATAAAATGGGTTCATTCAGTGATCAGGATAATAACACATTATGGCCACTAGATGGAGCGGAGAATCATAGGAAATAAATACATCTTATTAACATGAGATTCAATGTAACAATTCTACAGAACACTGGACAGAAATAGCAAATAAATGGAACCATTGCTACTATAGAATTCCATAGTAACAATGGAAAGAAATACAGTGGCTTAAATATGTAGATGGATCACCAATATTGGGATTATTGACGGTGGTTTTTATAAATGTCTTTCCATGTGTAGGGATTACACTCTTTGCTAAGGATAACAGTTTCAAAATTTTCACTTATTTAGGAGCCACCAGCAGGTTTTGAAGCATTTGGAACCTGAAATCACATAGGTGTAAAAACACTGACTACCATTAGGATACATAGATGTTGATAGACAGAGGCAGGAAATGTAAAAAGATGGTTTTACTAACACATTAGTTTACACAGTTTGTGTAACAAATTATCTTGTAAGATGCTTTATGAGGGTTTAGGGCCCATTCACACTTTTCCACATCTTTTGGAACAAGCCTATTTATTTTCAATGAGCCCTCGACAGGTATCCGTGGGCCAAAAATTCCTGCCTAAGGGGTGCACTAAGGGGCAGGTGTATTTATTTTGGCGGTGTATGAATATTGGAGTGCCATTAAAAATTGATAGCAACGTAAGATGCATACACTGCACATTGTTGTAACATTCATTAACACGCATAAGTGTGAAAGCGACCTTAAAAATGGGGGCAAATCTAAATCTTTCAAAGTAAGCCTGCACAATTACTATAAGACCAAATATTCAGATTCTCATATACACTCAATGACTGGTTTCCATTACCCTTATCACATTCTCATTCATGTCTAACAGAATATATAATACCTTATACATTTTTCCTTTATATCAAAATGTTCATTGGTTTATCTCACTGTATAGCATAGGACCACCAATTTTGTAATGTCTAGACATTTAGCACTGAAATCAGAGTTTCAGATTATGTTGACAGTAATAGAAGGGATGGTACCATAATTGCCTGAACTATAAAGGGTGGCCCTTGCAAAATAAAATGATCAGTACTGTCCAAATAAAATATTCAAAATTTGCATCAAAATGTAACATTGCTCTGTGAGACTGTAAACAATGCAAAGTGTGGTGTGTATTTCACAAGATTGCATGCACAGCTTCAATATTTGTGTCTTCCACAGTGGTCTCTGACTTAACCTCCAGATCCTCTTCATCTTGAATGTGTAACAGCACCACAGAATAAAATAAATAAGATGGCCTGAAATTCCATTAGGTCACATTATCTCTTCCTTTAGTTTAACACAAACTGAACAGTTACTGTGACAAGATAATACAGGCAGACTGGAGTCCACACAGTGTAGCCAAAAGTTGGCACAGCTTGGGTGATAGAGGCGTCCCCCAAACTCCAGCATGTTCCCAATGGGCTCTGGTGGGACCTGGAAAGAAATGGAAACAAAACTTACATTATTTACCCTATATAAAAAAAATTATAGGCAGGCGGGAGAGATATATTTTGAGAAGGACATGTGACTGATGATTGCAAGAGGACTGAAAATATCATGGTGAGTGAAGGACGTTTGGAGGAGGAGGGATGTGGAGGTGATATAAGGGACAAAGGTTTGAATTAAGGAATGAGGTTGAGTGATGAATGACAAAGTTTTGGAGGAGGAGGGATGACGATGTGTGAAGAGTGACAAAGAATTGCATGAGGATGTGTGATAGGTGACAGAGGTTTGAAAGAGGGTTCAGGATGTGTGATAAGCAAAACAAATGGCAAACGCACTCCTCAATTTTTTACCAGCTTTACAGCAAGGTGCACATGGAAGGGCTTTAAACAGTAATAGCAAAAATTTTCCCAGCACACTCACCAGTCAGCATGCAAAAAAGCGTCCCTGTGCCTTAAAGGGAGGTTGGGCTTCCACCTGACAAACCTGCACCCAATTTAATCTTTTGCCACATGTGCTCCAAGATGGAGACTCTCATAGTTTAGAGTTAGGACCGCACTATATAGAGGTGCCTTGGCTCGGCTTTCACATTTTCTGCAGAAGACGTGTATCTAAACCTCTGTTTTTAACCGTAAGGATGTGTGCTAAGTCGCATAGTTTCGGATAAGGGATGTGGATGTGTGATAAGAGACAGAGGTTTGGAGGAGGGTTCAGGATGTGTGTTAGGTGACAGAGGCTTGGAAGAGGGTCCAGGATGTGTGATGAGTGGCAGAGGTTTGGAGGAGGATCCAGGATGTGTGATAGATCGCAGAGGTTTGGAGGAGAAATGATAATGTGTGATAAGTGACAGAGGATGGATTAGGATGTCTGATAAATGACAGTGGTCTGAAAAGTATTTGGAGGATATTTGACAGATGACATAGTTTTAGAACAAATTTCTGAGAAGTGTTAAATGTTTGGAGGAGGGATGCTAGGCTTTGGAGTAAGTGATATAATACATATTGAGAGTGAATTAGGACTAAGTAAGCTTTTGAGCATAAGTAAGAGGAATGACTGAAGTGTGAGATTAAAGAAAATACACTGAGTGGCCAGATTATTATGACCACCTTTAGTTTGTAGGCTAATTAGCTATAATTTCGCGCTGAAGTTGCTAGAGGGCCAGACCATTATAAATAGGGAAGCAGGTTGTTTACCACGACAGTAGAAGTGATTTTTTTTTCTGAAGATATGGGTAAACAACGCAATTTAACGTGGGATGATTGTTGGCGCTCGGAGCCATGGAGCGAGTATCAGCAAAACAGCAGAATTCGTTAAATGTTCAAGAGCAGCTGTTGTTAAAGTGTTTAAAGACTGGACTGTCAGCCGAAAATCTGGGTCTGAACGTGTGAATTGTGGCCGTCAGCGACTAGTCAATGTTAGGGCAGAACGGAGAGTGGCAAGACTGGTACAAGACAACAGAAGGGCAACAGTGCAGTGTCAGATTCCTTGCATCACCTTTCAACATCTCGTGGAGTCACGAGGCGGCCCAACGAAGTCATCTCGTGGAGTCATCTCATGGCCCAACGAAGTACTGATGGGGTGGTCATAATAATCTGGCCACTCAGTGTATATAGTAGTTTCAGTGATGTGATGTCCATGAGCTACCTCACTGGTGCCAATGGTCTTCTTCAAAGTGTGGCATCTTTGGCCATTTTGATTGGCCAGCCCAGGATGGGGCAACTCCCATCCATGTGCATAGGAGTTAATTTATCTCAGCATACCATGTGCATGTGACCATGTGTAATTGCACGCAGCCACATTCTCCCATAGGGAAGAACAGGCTGCTGTGCGCTACTACACGCAGCACCTGTCTCTTCCGGGATCGGGTCTTTTTACGGGAGTGCACGCCCGTCTAAATAAGCCCTTAAAGCAAACATTTTAACACGCCTTAAGTGGAAGTATTACAAAGTTTAGCACAGTACTGGGATGTTTATCTATTTCTGCATAGTTATTTGCACTAGTCATTGTGTGTTTTTATGTCTAGTGTAAGGAAATTGCCTTGCCCTCTTGTGCTTACTGCATTGTGGACACAAACTGAAGAGGAGATCACTGAACATTCTGTTGTAACTTGTATGTGTACAAATCTATTCTGAACACTCCCAATGTCAATGGCAGGTGGTATGTACGCTTTCTTCTTAGGCAAAGAAGGACAGCAGATCACAGATGGGGTTCTTTTTCCTATGCACAGAAAACAAGTAATTCTTGATTGTTCACCTGTTGGTCCAATCTGTCCAGCAGACATACACCACAGCACCTTTGAAGACAAAGCCTTGAGTCGCACGGCATTTCTTTAGTCTCATAATCAAAAGCTGATGAGGAGGGCTGTTAAGGTGACAACAAAAAAAGTGGAAAAGTTGAATATCTTCAATAATTATTAAAGTCTTTATAATATCTGCTGTGAAAAACTCTTATGTGAAATGTTGGGCAATACAGTCAGAATGTGCAGCAACTCAAAGCAAATAATTACATTGTACAACCACTGTACTGTAATAAAAATCAGTAAAATACCAAATGTGATTAGTTGCTATGAGTATGTGCACTTTAAACACATTGGGGGGAATTTATAAAAACTGGAGCTGACAAAATCTGGAGCAGTTGCCATGGGCAACTGCTCCAGAATTCATCTGCTCCACTTTTGATAAATTCACCTCTCTTGTCTATTTATAAACAATTTGCAGAGCCATTCATCAATGAATGTCATTTCTCTTATGATATGCTATTCTTTCCAGGTTAATAAATTATACTGAGCAAAATCTGTATTTAAAATGCAGAATAACATTTTCTATTAGACCCCCAATGTCATCCAAGGACCCCTCAGAAGCTGATGAAGCAGAGATCGTGCTTCCCCAGCTACAGCAGCCAAAGAAAGGACACACAAACTAGAAGTGATCTAATGCACATTGCTTCTGCTTTCAGGGATCGGAGGGGAGATTAGCTGCTGGAAGTGTGTTGATCTTCCTCCGATATAAGTGCAGAGACCCCTATGCCGGTCTCGGGCCCACGCAGGATCGGGAAAAGATGTTTAAAAATGTCCACGCGCCCTCAGTTAAATAAACCTAGTAATGCCAAAAATGTACTTAACAGGTTGCAGCAGTACAATGTTTGCACCAATTTGACTTCTTTCTGGTAGTGTTGAGAACTGTCCCGTCTGCCTACCTTATGTTTCTTTAGGACAGTAGGGCTGCCCATCATAGTAACTGACCCAGAAGAACATGCTGGAAGGGGGCTGTATTCTACACTACAAGAATTAGTTAAAGCTGGCATGTCATAGTACTCCAGGGTAACAACATGTTCCCAGCCTGTCATTCACTTTCAGTAAAAGACTGTTGACACTATTGTCATAGTGCTCTGCTGCTGTAGACTTAGAAGCTTGATGGAATGCCATGGGACTAGCTGTTTTGCAGTGACTTCTATGTTTGGGATGTCCCACCATGTCTCTATAATAACTCAATATTTGTTTGTGGAGGACCTAAATATGGTCCATTTTATTAGTCAGTGAATATTCAGTGTGTTTAAATAAGTTTTTTAAAGCCTAGCTATTGGCAGGTTTTTATTGCCGTCTATTTCTCCACCAGGGGCATGTGCTTTGTGTCCACCACTGTGACCCCAGGACAAAAAATGAGGACAGATGAAAATGTTACATGGGTTCTATTCTTCTCCCACTCCACTAGGACATGTGTTTTTGGTGTTGTCACTGTCCCAACTGGAGTGATTTTCCCTCATTTCCGGTCCTCCTGACTCCTGTCACCTGGACAGGAAGTGAGGAGAAACATCCCTAAAAGCATGACAGATGGCATAAAAAGCTAGAAAGAGCTTTTATAAAGTTATGCATGTCACATTTTTTCTGGTCTGGAATGCATATACACATACAAACATAAATGAAAGCACATAAAAGCAAACTGAGACAACCAGTCTTTTTTATTCCATCTTACTTGTTCACTGAGCACTACTTCCTGGCAGCCATAGAGCCCATACCTTGCTAGAGGGCCAACAAACCTAAAATAGCCATAGACAATTTGGAATGAATGGCTCTCTTGTTTATAGATGGTGTTTGTGCTATAGATCAGTGGTGTTGGGTGCACAGCTGCCCTGTGCATAACCGGGGTGTTATATGAATAGACATGGCTACTGTACATAAATTGAAATCAAACCACTTGATTTTCTTTTTTTGTATTTGATGAAAGTAATGACATGACCCAACATAACCTAATTTGTTACCTTGCAAATATTGTCAGCTTGCTCTTATAAAACAACTAAAGGCATTAAAAAAATTAGCCCTTGCAGTGGGGCTACCCCCCTCACTGCAAGGGTTTTGTGCTCGTTTTGGTCTCGGGTGCAAAATAAAAAAAAATATACTCACCTGATCCTTGGTCCTGCGGAGGTGACCACTCACCACTCCCCCCTCCCCCCTTTTGTTCTGGCTGTGGTATGACTTACTGTCCTCACGTCTTATAGAAGTAAATGGACCGTGCATAGACATGATGACGCCAATGAGGCTTAGACCTCCAGAGCCAAGGGGAGATGGGACAGAGGATTGAGTGAGTATATCTATTTTTATATTACACCCTAGACCAAAATGAGCACTGATCCCTTGCAGTTCAGGGGCTAGCCCCACTGCAGCGCTTAATATTTTCAAAGCCCAGAGTTGTTCTTTAAAGTGGGACTTGCATTGTGGAATCACACTTGAGCTTCTCACACTACACTTGAGCTTCTCACACTCTACAGCTGACCAATTCTACTGGAACTAGAAGCTGCAGTCCCAAACCTGCTTGCTTTGCTTCCTTTCCAATAAGATTACACAACATTCGACAAATGTATTATATTGGATAGCAGGCAAATAGGGATAACACCTACGTTATCATTTTCATATGTTCGCAATCACATAGCATAACTTTCATTGTCACTTGTAAACTAGATGAGCAGGACTGTATGTCCCAACAAAGGGTTAAAGCCCTGAGGACATTGTATGTTAATGAGGAGATGCTCGGTTTGTCCTAAAGCTGCCCACACACCTTACAATTTATCATACATATGCTGTGTGAATAGGAAGACATAAACATATAGAGGGGTTTTTCCCAATTTTGGCTTCAAAAGTAGAAATAAAAAAGTGCAGCTTACCGTTTTGAGTGCTCTCTTTTTACAACAAAGGGAAACAACCATGGATTACAGTAAGGCACACATTACAGTATTGTTTTATGTTAAAAAATCTGAGGGTTTAATGTCACTTTAAGCATCCATTGCTATGGAATGTTAATGAAGGGCAGGGGAACTGTTTTTGATATTAACCCTGTCAGTACTGTGCTAGAAGATTTCATTATTAGTTAACTGCTGTCAGACTGTCTGTCCTAGCAAAGGGTGGAAGAACTCAAGACTTTGTATGTAAATGCATTGTTTCTAGGTCTTGTCCCTCCTGTCTGTCTCTTATCTCTACATTGACATGTTTTCAAAGCTGCAGAAGCCACCCATGAAGTCCTATGTATAATGCTGCTCCAAAGAAACAACTAGAAAGGTAAGAAATATTTTTTAGGTATGCTGTGTGAATGGGAACGCATATGAAACATATAGTGGGGGTTTTTCAAATTTGGCTGGAAAAGTGGAAAGTTTAAAAAGTAGAAATTGTGATAGGTACTTACCAGTTTCTGAAGTACACTGGGAGACATGGACAGAAAGGCCTGTAAATTATTCCAAGCTAATTCAATGTCCCTTAGTACAAGTTGTAACCTCTCACAGTCAATATTGAATGCTTTCATTCCTCCTTCCATTCTTTTCGATACTCTATACACTTCAATCACACCTGCAATAAGCCAAACAAAACGCACTAGGCTTTAATCCTTCTATCTTCTCCTTTTTTTAAGTGCAAAATCAGAGGACAGAAAGAGAGTGGGACTAGCAAAGTGATTGTGGTTCTTGATGAAGTGGCAGGACTCCTGACACCCCATCTGCCATTTAAAGCACTGAAGGTGGGGGAAGGTGCTGGTGGTGCACAATACCGCTGCCTCCAGGGCTGTCCGGCATCCCTCCCAACTCACTGATGTCACTGGTTGCCAGGAGCTGGGTGGGACACCGGCCCCCCACGCAGCTGCCTCATTATAAGGATGGTCCCTGTCCAGAAAACAGGTGTGAGGGTCCCGTGATGTTTTATCAACAGACACAATTATCAGTGTTTTCCTTTGCGACAAAGGCCACATACGAAGGCCAAATAGTCTTTTCTAGTTTCATGTAGAAGTGAGGGGTAAGTGCATACTATGGGGGGTGGTTTTGGTAATTAACTTCATTTTAAAGATAAACAATAATGGTTTTGGGTCAATTTTGTTTTTTTTAACCTTTTTTTTTTTTAAATTTGGATTTAAACATTTAATACAGGGTGCACCATGGCACAGGATTTAACTCGGAGAGGGAAAGAAGGAGTCAACTTCTCAACGGATTATCTTGAGCTTTTGAACTCTGTTAACAACTGATTTTTCATCAAATTATGTAAGGGAAAACTGGTGAACGTGTGAAAAGGAATTTAGAGATCCTGGCCAAAATAAAGAAAACATATACAAAACTACTACTTGTACATTTTAAGCACTTGGGTGGTGTTTTAGTGGTGCGTTTATTCATCCTGCTAAACTGCATGTGCATTCATTCTATGTGAAAGGGGCAAAAACAAATGTTAAGCTTTCCATTCACGAGTAGATTTTAGTTGAAAAAATCGTTCTCTGAAAATTTGTTCCATTTTCTAATAGTTAATGGGGTCAAATTGGCAATCAATTTTTACTGTAGTGACAAATAATAAATAAATCAAGGGAGCAGGATAGAAATTCTCAAACAAAATCCTAACAGTCAGTGTGGTTTTAATTTGAGAAACTCCATTTATTCCAAAAGTAAATGTTAACTCAGGTGTTAAATATTACAAATGGATTCAAGTACCTTAATTAGTAACAGAAATTTGTGTATCACTGGGCTGTAAATTCTCAAATCATCTCTGAATTCATGCTGACACTGCCCTTCCTTCTGGAGGGTGGCTACTTTTGTTCCACATGGTCCCTGTGTGTGTTGTGAAGTGGTCACTGCTCCAAGCTCACTCCTGTGATAGACCACAATCTCAATACAAATTAGCTAACTAAATGTGAGATTGTAGTCATGGTTGAGGTTGGAGTGGTGGCTACTTTACAACACACATGCAGGAAGCAGGGAGAGTGAAGTGTATGTGTTTGCATAACAGTGAATGAAGACACCTTGTAAGAACATGTTGCTGTAGCAAAGAAGGAGAATATATAATACAGAAACATACCTGAGATGTAATCAGTCCCCCGAGAGGACATCAGTACTTCACTGCATACAGAGGGCTGGCTGATACCACACAAAATTTCATTGGCCTTCTGTATCACCTTTATGTTGAGAAGGAAATCATACTTTTTATTAAAGGGGAACTTCACTCTACCTAGCCAAAGTAAAATTTCAAATCCCTAATAAATACCCCATTTGAGGATAAAAAAAACCCCCAAAAAACACCACACAATATCTGCTATGTGTGAGCTCTCACCCTGAAACTGCCTCTTGGGATGTGTGACGTGGACATCCAGTGAAGCAGCAGGTGGCCAGACGTGCGTTAACCTTGCCTAGGCAAGGAATCAGGTAGTGGATCTCTAAGGACTCAAAAAAGGTATTTACTGTTAAATAGAAAAAACTGCATTTGTGTAAGTGGGTGGGTAGGCGGAGGCGGCAGATGAGAGGAGGTTTTTTCATGGGCGAGGACTGCTTTAGCATCCAGTTATCCAGATTTTTGTAAATTTTTGTAATTTTATTCCCCAAAAACCTTTGCATCATGAATTATAAGTTTTGCAGCCCAATGCCATTGTAAGGGATAATAACTGATTGCATTTATGGACCACCAACTAAAATAATCAGTGCAGATATTTTACTCTGATCAGTTCACTACAATTTGTATAACTGTTGTTGTCACCAGACCATTAGTCAGAAGCTCACACACAACAAAAGAAAAAAAATATACCTAATATTACATTCACAGTTTTAATGTTTTATCCTAGCTAGAGCTTTTTATGATCAAAAAGATTTATGATAGTATTACCTTGTGGATGCTCTTTAAAGATGTCTTTAGATGAGAAGTACAGGTGTCTAACTGAAACACAAACAAAATTAAACTGCAAAACATTTCAAGAAGTCAATATAGCAAAATAATACCTAATGGTAACCGGTGCCCAGTCAAGGACCTCCGGCACACAAGGCAAGGATGCCAAAGCAAGCCCTCCCACTGAGCTAAGATGCACGGAGATTAAACATCTACATGCACAATGGCTGGCCAGAAATGACAGCCCTAAGATTACCCAATGTGGTCCATACAAAAATGAAATGGGATGGGGGGGGTTCAACATGGTTAAATATTTGTGATGTAGTCATAATAAGCATGGTACAACAGAGCCAGGTTTTCATTTCCATTATGATATCCAAAATTTGTTCTTCCGTCTGGAAATTAAGCGCGCCAACATTATGATTATAAGGGAGCATTATTAAATCCAAAATGTGTTCTTACATCTGGAAATTAGGGGAGCTAATAGTTTAACACAAGTGATAATTTTGTGATTTGTCCCTTTTATGAAGGTGCAAAATGTTTTAATTGACAGACTAGTCCTGCAGATTACACCGGGAGAGAGCAGCTCTCCCGGTGTAATTAGCAAAGCTCAACTACTGACTTGTACTAGCTGTTCATGAGCATGCAATGCTCGTGACACAGAGCAGGGCCCACTGTCACAAACACACTCACAGAGGTTACTTGCAGATTACACTCCCCCGATGTAAAGAACAGGGCTCAGCTGTCATTCTGATAGGCTGATCATGCAGAATGCTGGAAATGACTGGGGTGATGCAGAGCTGGAAGAGGCTTCCACCCCAGCTCCAGCCCCACCATCCACAGTGTCCAAGGTGGGCAACTCTCCTGCCTCTGCTTTAGCCCAGCCATAAGGTGTTGACCACATACAGTCAGGTTTTCTTTTCAATATGAACTATGTGTATAATCAAACGAATGTACCAACAAATGCTGTATGTATTGCAGGGGCCAACAATACATTTGCATATGTTCCCGTCAGGTAGACCCATAGATTTGAGGGTAATACATTATTTTATTCTAACAAATCAAATCTGAAACAAAATATAATTAACTATAATATCTGATGTCAAGCTCTCCTCATCTTTTCTATGAGATAATCACTGGTGTATTTAAGTTTTTGTATTTAAGATCCTAAAAGTAGTCTCAGGTCTGTACTAACATACATGGGCTGCTATCATTTTAACTAAAAATATGTTGATCTGTTGGTATATATTATTACCAAGTAACAGATAAATCTGCATTTCATATCCTTACCCTAATCAGTTTGTAGAAAGCCAACATTTTATGAATATGGAGTGCGCCTTCATGTATTGTGTGCAGAAAACTCCTAACTTCCATTAGTGAGCTGACAACATTGCTTGTGCTTCACTTAAAATCTCTAAAGCTGGCCATACACCTATAGATTATCTGCATGTTTTCTATGGTCAGATAGAAGATGTGCAACAGATTCCTCCATCTACACTAAACTGTGTGGATGGAGGAATCTCCCGTTGGGCCAAGTTCAGAATCTTGCTAGACGGCTGTCAAAATACCTGAACAATGCCTGCATCCAATCAGATTGTTCAGGTATTTTGACAGCCAGCGGGGCCGACTAGCAAGATACTGAAGCTTGGCCCAGTGAGAGATTGCTCCATCCACACAGTTTAGTGTAGATTGAGAAATCTGTTGCACTTTTTCCATCTGACCATAGAAAATCTATAGGTGTATGGCTAGCTTAAGGCCCCTTTCACACGGACGCCTTCAGTTCTGATCAGCAGGGAATCCGTGCTTGGAGCGCCTGCTGATTGGAACGGATGTCACTGCACTGAGGAAAAATGTAGGCTTGCTAAACCCTCCTGATGAAATGCCAGTTCCCTGACTGTCATGCAAACCCAATGGCTTCAGTACAAGTAAGAAGATCAGGAGTTCTGCTTTCATGATATTAATGCCTGTTCTGGGTCAATGGCTCAGAAAATATTGAAGCCAGACAAAACAATTTCCAAAACGAGGCCCGCAATGGTAGCCCAAATATTCCTCTCAGTACAATTTCCTTTAAATTACAATTTCCTTTAAATTACTACTAAGCTAAAAAAAAACCTTTTGAAAAGGATCATTTCTACATCTATTTCTACATCAAAATTACCATTATTTTATGGGAAACAAATTGCTTCCGACTCTTTTTAAACTTTTCACTTGAGTGTTGCGCATGAGTCAGCAGCACAGGGCAATAGTACTTCTTGTGGCTGCATGTGCTCATACACAGGAATATGTAAAGATGAGCTTACACCAGGGGTGGTCAGCATGCTGTGCATAGGCAAGACCACCTATATCTGTAAAAAAAAAAAAAAAAAACCCACATCAAAGCAAATGGACTTGCTGTATTTTTCTTGAAGACATTACAGCATAGTACAGCAAGTCCAGTTACCTTGATTTATTTTTTTTACAGCAATACCATGACCTGGATGAATGAGAACCTTCACAGACCTGTCCATCCATAGTTCTACCCAGGAGCACACACGGGAGGGTGACAACGCTGCCACTCCCTACAACATATCTCCCAACTTTCTGAGATAAGAAAGAGGGACACCTTTCAGCACAATGTATTTAGGCAGCAGACACCCCCCTGCCACAGCCCCAGATATTTGGATCATTAGGAATTTTTCTATGCCAAAATAATCTTTTTTTTCACTATTTCTTACAAATATAAGAGATAAGATAAAATGTTTTAGTGCATAATAACTCTTTTGGCTTGTGAAATAGAACCTTTTCATAGATAGCTGTACATGAGACCAAAAAGAAGGACAACTGAGGAGGGACAGAGGGACTTGGTTCCAAATGAGGGACAGTTGGAAGATATGCTTGCAGTGCACATATAAGGTAACAATGTCACCCAACTATCGGAAGAAATGCAGACAAGAACTTTATACAAATATTTAACAGCGGTATCTGCTCAACTAAGAAGGAAAGTGGCAGAAAGTAATATGTTTAAGAAAAAAGTAATACATATAGATTTCCTTTCACTTTAAGAGTAGTGCACAAAATATTCAGAACTATAGGACAACCCCTAGTTTTCTGAACATTCTTCCAGTGTTATCAGTAATACAATCTAATAATCATTGAGATCACCTCCATCCATGCTTTTCTGGCTCTTTAATATATCGATATTAAAATTGTAAATGCTCTGCTGCCAATATAACTGGTACCAATTGTATGGTATGCTGACAGGCAGAGCTTGTACTTGCATGCCTGCCCTGACAAACCCTTTATTTTATGAAACATATAAAGTCTGGTATGTGTACATAACACACAAATATAAAATCTTATGCTGCAGCCAGGACAATTTGAGCTTTTTACTGACCAAGCTGTTTGGAAATGTTAATGATCCTTACCAGAGAAGGTTCAATTGCCATAGCTGTAAGACGTGTGCTCAAGATGTCAAGAAGAGAGATGTCAAATAGAAGGAAATAAAGCAGGAAACCCCAAACTGTAATCGCACGCTGTGACCTGTATGATAAAAGTCATGCTTCTCTGTTCAGGCTGAGAGGCCACATTACAGCTTTGTATTAGCAAAGTGAGACTTGGAGCAAGTTTCCTGGGAGTGGCCGCGTTAGAGGCTAGGTGACACGTTACCTGAAGGGGCCCACCCAGGTCATTAGGCTGCAGGGACTGGGACGTTTATTTGAACATCTAGGGAAACCACATAATCACACAAGTATTTACTATAAATCTCCAAGTTTGTAACTGGGAATAATGGCTGCAGTGTAGATGCTGGTAGTAAACATTAGAATGTGGAATGTGACAGGCAAGAAACCTGCTCAACCCCCTCCTGAATCTTATTATGCCTGCCTACACAGGTCAGACACGGCACCCATTGCAGACAAAGACCAGCCATTGCCACCAGCTGGCCATACACCAGTAGGGTTTTGTTTGAAATAGTTTCACTTTTGGAACTTTCGTATTGCTTTCTAATAGTTAATGGCGACAAACTGACAATCGCTTTTCACCGTAGTGACAAGAAAAATTGAAAGCGCAGGTGGGAAAATGTTTCTCCTGTCTTATTTAAACAAACAAAATTCTGACTGTTAATACAGTCCTCAGTTGGAAAAAAAAATTGTACTTATGGTAATTTACATGGTAGGAAAAGTTTAACCATGAAACCATGAATATGAGCTTTCATGGTTAAGAACGTTTGTTTATTTAAACAATGATGTAGGAATGGATGAAAGATCAATACAAACAAAGGTTAGGGTAGCTATTTCCCCTACAGCCCTTGCTGTTAAAAAGGTAACACTGGTGAGAGACAGAGGAAGGAGTGTGGAGCTGATAGACAGACAGCTCTGTGTTTAGCTGCTCAGAAGCAGATGGACTTTGGTCTAGGTGAGACCACCAGATCGCACAAAGCTGTGCAATGTTGTGGAAGGACTTTTTGCTTTGTATTTTATGTTTGCTGAAAAAAGTCTGTTTTTTTGAAGGTAGCTAGCAAAAGCATGTGTACCCCTGGGGTCCCCACTATCTATCTACCTATCTATAAATAGATAGATAGTGGGTGTTAGCTTGGCAGCAGGTGTGTGTGACTCGCTGGATGAGTTCACTACACAGTACATAGGCACAGCAATGTCTTTAGGTGAAAACACACGTTTAGTTTATTTACAAGCAAAAAGAAAAAAACCCATGGAAATAAACCCTTGCCTTTTGGCAACTTACTACACACAGAGTTTCCCTTACTATCAACTAGGTACAACCTTGTGCTGCCCTGACCTCCTATCTTTCTATTGAACAAACTGCCACACCGGTCGGTACAAAGCTCCCCAGTCTGCTCAGGCACAAAACCCAGGGTGGAGCAAATCTCTACGCAGTACTAGCCGTTGTCGTGGGCAACGCTGGATGTCGTGATTGACCCTGGATTACGTTGGAGGATCCATTTTTGGGGTTTAAAAAAAAAAAAAACTTGTCAAAAACATATCTTTTGGGGGTTTTTTTCCAAATAAAGGATTTTTTCAAAAGTCTGGACTTTTTCTTTACAATTTTATTTAACCCTTTAGTGAATGGGTAGGGGTACAAGTACCCCTTACTCATTCACAAGGGGAGGTGGCATCTGGGTGCCCCTTTATTAAAGGGGTACCCTGATGTGAATAAACCCCCTGCCCGCACCCCCACAACCAATGCCCCAGGGCTTGTGGGGAAGAGGCCCTTGTCCCCATTTCTTTTTTTTTTTATTTGGTCGCTCCCAACATTCCATGTCATTTTTTTTCTTTAGAAATGTCAGTTTTGCTGTAAGCAGGTTTTATACATCGTACAGATGTGTCACTTTACAGGCAGGTTAAGGGGACCCCCCCAGGAATTTTTCATTCATATTCCTACCCTGTAAGTGATGTTAAAATCACTGCTCCTTTCAAAAACGGTATTTTTTAAAAGGCTTTTTTTTTTTCATTGATTCCTGTCCCCCAGGGCAGTACCGGGATCCCCATAAACTTTTTATGGGCAATAACTTGCATATAAGCTCTCTTAAAGGGGACAATTGTTTTTGAAAGTTCTACCCCCATAGACTTGCATTGAGTTAGAGTTTGCATTCAAACTTTTTGGATGTTCTAAAGTTCGAATTGGAACTGAACTCGCATCTGTTCGGCTCATAACTACTGGTCATTCACATAACAGAGCCTCGGTATCCAATGCTTGCAAAGGTGGGTGCTGCAGAATTGAACGTGCTTGCATCCGACTAGTAAATGACCCTGAACACTTTTTAGTACAGGAGGAAGGTTTAGAACAGGGATAGGCAACCTTGGCACTCCAGCCGCTGTGGAACTACAAGTCCCACAAGGCATTGGATATAAAAAGCAAAGAAGCATAAAGCTAAGAAACCATATGGCACTTGGCGGTTGTTGAAAACTATCAACATTTCTAGGGACAAATCTTCAACGCCTGGGATTATACCTGGAAATAAGGGGACAGCTGCCAGCTAGGACACTAAAAGAGGAGATCAGCTGCTGTAGCCTTTGCACCCTGTGTGGAATGTTCCATACTAATCTCACATAGCAAGCTGTCACACAAACATGATAGAGGGGGTCTTACTCTAAAATGCCAACGAGTCAGGAACTGTAAAGCTGCCCATTGAGAGCTAATGAGATATGAATCACCCATCTGTGTGGTCCAAAAGTTGCTGAGATATACAAAATCTGCCTGTTTTATTTTGTGTCTATCACATTTGATGAAAATCCATCTGCTACTTTTTATGTTATCATTGCATTTGCAATCTATATTTTCAAACAGACATTGAACCTAGGGTGGCCATACATGGAGCACTTATATGCACAATCCTATTTTTGAATTATTTTCAGACTGGTAGAAGAGTTACCATCAGACGATTGATTACCACCAACACATAAGTTAAATTGTAAGATGTGATCAGTCTATATAATCGACAACATCATCGATCAAAAACAGCTATTTGAAAATTATTTAAATAAACAGAATTGCATGAAAAGATCGTTCGAGGTGCCATATGTGTACACATACTGTACATGCGATTTTCTGTCCAGGCCAATCATACTAATTTCAATGGAATTTTGATTGGGTTTGATCTAAATCGATAGATGGCACAGTATACAGTATATCTCATCAATAATTAATAGAATCGATCATGTTGTGTGATTCTGTAAAGAAACGTTCAATCAGATCAATGCGTGTATGGCCACCATTAGACATGGCTGGGGTTTATTTAAAAAATAATCCGTCTTCCTAACACTTCACCTATCCAGAGTACTGCAAGTTATCTTGTATGGGGTTAGGGAAACCCAGGTCTTTGGAATGACCTGTCAGGGAATCACAACACATGGAAAGGTGAGCAGGAACCTTTTTTTTCCTCAATCCACACCACCACTGAATGATAGTTCAGGTAACCCACATTAGATTTTGGAGTACATCTCTTGATGATGCAGAGATGTGTATTTAGGGAAAACTGAATGGGTTTTTTTTTTATACAGAATGAATGTCAAAAAAAACAACAACAAAAACACACACATTATGGCCACTAGATGGAGCTGAGAAGCATAGGAAATAAGTTTTTATTTCCTGTGCTCTTCAGCTCCATCTAGTGGCCATTATGTGGTATTTTTGACAATTACATTCATTCTACACAAGAATACATTCAATTTTACCCTAGTCGCACATAATAAATGTAATTGTCAGTTTCACAGAACAAATGGCTCCTCGCAGCCCAATTAAAACATTTGCCTTACCCCCCTTACCAGAAGAATTATCCACTGATCTGCTTTCCTCTTCACAAAACACTGAAAGAAGTACCATTGTTTTTACCATTATTTCACATATCCTATATGACTGTAAAAGAATCACACGGAAATTAAAAGATAACGTTTTTACATATATTTATTTTTCTCATTTACAGAAAACATACAAAGTAAAACAAAGAAAGTTTGCTACTAAATTTCATGTCATTTATGTACCAATCTTATACGTCACAAAAAGACCTTGTAGTGCAATATCTTGTGCCTTGGTAAACAGTGCTTTGATGTCATACAAATATACAACCTTTCCTGTAGCTGGTGACAGTATCAATAAGCATCACTTGCTGAACTAAAAGTAACTAGTTCCTTTCCTTCATGAATTTTCACACTATTTCTTCTGCCACACTGGAATGCTTACTAACAACTTGCAAAGCTTTTCATCCTGCAAAACTGCATGTACATTTTGTGCGAAAGAGCGCAAAAATGTATGTTAGTTGGTTTCCTTTCCAAGTTGAATGTTATATCAAGAAAATTAGCATTATGGCCACTAGATAGAGCAAAGACGCATAGGAAATAGATATTTAGTTCCTGTGCTCCTCTGCTCCATCTAGTGGCCATAATTGGGTACTTTCCTAGTATTACATTCAACCTGGAAAGAAAATATACGAACAATATTTGTTTTTGCACGTACGTACAGTTTCACAAGGCAAATGGCTCTGCAATTTTTTTAATTAAAATACCACTAAGGGGTTAATTTATAAATATTCCACCTGGCGTACAGCCAAGCGGATGCTGTTTGCACAGCACTAGCATTACCTAGATGGCACTGATGAGTATAGGAATTTCCAATACTTCTTAGCGCAGTCTAGGGGCACTAGTGCCACATGAATGACATCCGTCCGGTGTATAAATGACCTCTAAGTGATACCCTTTATGGGCTAACTTGAGTTGCTAAAGATTCAAGCTTTGTCAATGCCTTTAAGGTAGGCTTTAGTACAAGTGTCATGAAAACCTTTGTTTTTGAAAACCTGTATGTGCTCAGTACACAGAAGGGCCGATTCAAATCCATGCAAACATTGCATAGTAAAACACATTGTTGCAACACATCACAGTGAATGCTAACACACCTAACGTGGTGTGCTGCACTGCAACATATAGATCTGAATGGGCCTAAAATGTAGTATTGAAGATAAGCAGTCTTTACATGAAGATGGAGGAAAAAGCTGAAGAGTGACATCTGTTCTGTTCTTCTCCAATCAGCAGGGACTCTGTGAACAGATCCCTGCTGATCAGAAAGGACGGTGCCCATGTGAAAGGGGCCTTAGAATACACCTACAGTGAGCCAAATAATACCCAAGAAATGCCGGATATCACAAGTAAACCTTGATGTAATAAAGACTTTATGATCAATGTTTTTTCTTGCACTGAATGGACTGGAGAACCAGTGCATACTGGAAACACATTCATGGTCTACACAGCTATTTCTGCAATGATCATCTGTGTTGTATATACTAGATGCTCAATGGTTACAATCGTATTATTCAACCATATGCTTGTACTTGGTATCTGTCCTAAATAAAGAATTTTAAAAAAAGTTCAAAGCAGCCTTCGCTGTAATATTCGCCTTCAATCCAGATTTGACCCCACAGTGCTTGTTTTCTTACACAAGGCATGTATGGTCACCTATAAGCCTCTGTGCCAGTATGTCACAATGCAGGTTCTGACGCTGCTGGATGTAGGGGACTTTATTACTGGGAAATAGTGTTTTCATCACACTAAATACTAGGAAAGGAACTGAATTCAGGTTGTCAGGCTCTGCCTCTAAGTGCCACCTAATATCTACGAATATCTCATCATTTCACCAATATTGTTGTGAATATATCTGTATATGGAATATAAATGTCCACCAGTTTTCACTTACGTATGGTTGGCACTAAAATGATGAAATTTTGTTACTAAATGAGTAAATTTCTTATACCTCAGTGAAGCTGCATTCACTTCAGCCATCAACCATGGGTAGAGAAAATTCCTATTTTAATTTCCTCTGCACATGACTGACTGTTCCCAGTTGACCGAGCTCAGTGTGCTATGTTTACATTTATATGGGTACCCGGGGGAGCCATATAAGTGCTGTGCCATTTTTGCTGTACATGGAGGGTTCCGAAAGAATAAACCGCCTATTGTTAATATAAAGTGACAATGCTGGCCCCTGTCTGCAAATGTTAGTTGCCTGGTTGTCTCTTGTCTTCAGTACTTTCTAAGTCATTGACCTGGACAAGTATGCGGCAAGCAAAGTCAGAACTCCAAATTTGTTAACTTTTTCTGGGTCAGTGATCAAGAAAGCAGTGAAGCCAATGGATCTTCATGACATCATGGCAACTACATAATTCTCTCAGCACAGATTTCCTTTAATATTAAACAGATGGGTGTATTCAAGTTCCTGTATGTCTTATAGATCCAGATGTCATGTAAGGGCATGTATAAAATGTACCAGTTTACGGAGAATACGTAGACAAGAATATCATACATAAATAAAACTAATTTACAAAGGTAACACAGTGCACATAAGTCAAGTTCATTGTAAAGATATGTTTTCAGAGCTTCAAAGAATACCTCACAATAGATCTGGTAGCATAGTCAATGCCCTTCTATATCGAGGATTTCCCATCATGCCAGTGTACAGCCAGGAAAACATCCCCTCAGCTGATCACAAGGTTTAGAACTGACAAGACTTACATTGGACCTGAATTCAAAAAGTGAAAATGTTGCCATCTTATAGAGAACATGTAGACATGTTATTTGTGCCTATGCAGAAAATTGTACCTCCGGAAAATAGCACATGTGTACCTTGAACCTCATAGCTAAATAACCGCAGTGTAAGATCATCTGAGGCACTGCTGCCTCTGACTGTCTCAAGAGCTTTTGAGTGAGATTTGGTGATGTGACTACTGTGCAGATCACTGTTCTTGCTGAAGGAGAAGCTGTACTTGAGAACCTGCAATGCAAAGATCTCCTGCTTCTTAAATTTTGTGGACCTGTACTTCCTATCCTCTCTTGCTGCTTCTTTATTGTTGAATCTGCAATGAAAAGATCTCCTGCTTCTTAAATTTTGTGGACCTGTGCTTCCTATCCTCTCTTGCTGCTTCTTTATTGTTGAATCTGCAATGCAAAGATCTCCTGCTTCTTCCATTTTGAGAACTTGTGCTTCCAAACCTCTATTGCTGCTTCTTTATTGTTATCTAACCTATCATCAGATCACCAGTCATCAGAGGCCATGTCCTACAAGAGGAAGCAAAGCCCCTTTTCTTTACCACGATGGCCACTTACACACACACAGTACAGAACAAGGCATGGTAAGTCTACAACGAGGAAAAGATCAGCTGCTTGGAGCCAACAGACAATACTGGTGACTGGTCCCTGCTTGTCTTTTTGGGCACAGCTCCAACAGTACTGGTCCGCTTTAATAAGATCATGGCAATCAGCGTAGTTAGTCACAGCAAAGGAAACCTGCCATGAGTAAATATGAAAGCTGCTATTGCTGACCTCTTCTTCTACAAATAATATTTCCCTGGCTGTCATGAAAATCAGGTGGCTTTAGTGCTGTCTAAGTCAGTAAATAAGAACAAGCATGCAAATTGGGGGTTTTGGCTTCCCTGATCTGCATGCTTGTTCAAGATCTGAATCCAGAAACAGCCTGACATCTAGCATTTTCGAATCATCAATAACAGTGTCTATATTACAGTCATCCGAGGTGGAGACCCCTTGCCTTTGCAGCCAAAGTAGTGCAATCAAGGATCTCCCATATAAAAGGGTCCTGAAACAATGGCACTAAACACCGTAATACTGATTTTATTACAAATATATACAGTAGCTACAATGGGACACCCACTAAATCACACAATATACAATATTCATTTTACATTGCAAATCATCAGTTTACAGATGCTGCACCTGGGTGAGGAAAAGCAAGATAATGCACGGCAATATGACATAAAGTATGACAGGATGGCTATAGTAGCTTCATGGAGCTGACTTTTTACAGAGGGCATCGTCACAGGTCATTGTAGCTATCACAATGACTACACAGAACAAAGGAGATAATACTCACGGCAACATGAGCAGTTCCTGTTATATCTCTAGGAATTCAAATAAAGACATTCAAATTTCCTCGGTGGCTTTTAGAACCCTTTGTTTTGAGATAGTCGTACTGAAAAAGGAATTTCATCCATCTGTAATGTTAACAGCAATACATACTGGGCCTTATCTAATAATACCAAAGGGTGCAATGCTCCTGCAAGAGCCAATCACTGATTTGTGCTTTTGTTTGGCCAGTCAGGTTAGGCCTCATTCTGGGGCTGCAGCTAACGATTATTTTCATAATCGATTAGTTGCCCGATTATTTTTTCAACGAATCCATTGGTTGCATTAAAATCAATATCTATCTCTCTCACGCTCTCTCTCTCCTCCCCAACCAACTAACCGATAATGAGAATAGTTGCTAACCATTCTCATAATTGATTATCATCGATTGAATCGATTAGTTGTTGCAGCCTTACCTGATACACATTGGCACTGACAGATATCCATTTATATATGTTTACAGGACATTTCTAAATGCATATAATCATTTTTAATGGTATCATTCAAACTGAGCATTTACATGGGTTTAGATGTGATCAGTTTAGCTGTCTTCAAAGAAAAGAGAATTCTGTGCGTCCAGAATCTAATTAGAAACTCTAGGGCCCCATTCATATCAGATGCGTTGGCATCCGTTTTTCAACAGGTGCCAACTCAAGGATATCTGAAAATGAGTGGGTGTGAATGGGAGCAGTTCACACCAATAATGTGTGTTGTCCTCCACTGAAAAAAAAAGTAGAGCAGGCTCTACTTTTGTCAGCGCAACATAGCGCAACGCGTGTTTAACGTTTGCCAATGCAACAGACATCAACGCAAGGCAACCAATACCTTTATACAGCTTGGTGTAAAAAAAAGAATGTAATGCCAACACAAGTGAACACACTTGCACTGAGTCACGTTCAATGCACATATTTCGATGTGAATGCACCCTAAATGCTTCTAAAAAACGGGCAAGCCTGCAAAAAGGCAAGTGCATCTAAACGCAGGAGAAAGTGACCCGTGAAGAATTACATTTGCACATACTTTCCAGATCATTTCTCCTGCGTTTAAATATTCTAAATGCAGGAATGCTAATGTGAATGTAGCCTTAGGGAACAACATGTTGCTGGGGCCGAATCTTCCCTATTCCTCAGAAACAGAAGGCTCAGCATGCATCACATATACATTATCCAGCAAGCTGGACTGTTCAAGGTAATCAGATGTTTGTTATGGCAAACCCTACAAGTGCAGATGTTAGCTCAATCATTGTATACAAGTCAGGTTACATTTAAATATGAGATTGCAGATAGCTATGCAGATGTTTTCCAACCACCATCATTTTTCATGAAGGAGTGCTACAATGATATGCATGCTTGCCTATATATGCATTGCAGGTATTCACCCTGATGGCCTATTGGAAGTGAGGCATACTGCCACCCACAGATCATGCTGAACAATATCAGATGGATCAGGTAACTATCTTGTAAGGGTCATAGGTAGTTTAAACTGCTCAGATCACATGCAGGGGGAGCTAAATGTCGGCCTTTCAGCTGTGGAGAAACTACAAATCCAATCATGCATCTGGGACTCATGCCTGGGACTGTCAGAGTTTTTACAATGCCTAATGAGATCTGTAGTTTCACTACAGCTGGAGGTCCAAAGTTTGGCTACCCCATTGCTCACTATGGAGCTAAAAATTCCCAGAGGAGCCCATCAGCATCCATCTATCATTTCTTCAGCCCAGAGTTCAAAATAAAACAAGGATCCTGATTGCTTGTGATAGGAAACAAGATATAAGAATGAGCATCTATGTTATTAAATAAGACAATTCAAAGTTGTTATGTAGATGAAAACTAATTATGGAGATGAATTCTGGCACGTTGTGCTTTTTCTTGTGTGAACTTGTAGTGCAGTGATCTCACACTTTACATGCATTTAGTACAGATGTAGGAAAACATGGGGCCTTACCGAAAGACAAAAACATGACATGGGCATCACTTGCTAACAACTATATGACATTTTATCCTATTTTGTACTGCTGATAACTCATTGTATGGTTAAGAAGTTCTTGTGTTGGCTGTTTTTCCGGGTATTATACATCTGAGTATATTGCAATATATCAGAGATAAGAAAATATATCATTCCTCTGAAAAATCAGAGAAAACTAGAAAAAAAAAGAACTACATTATTCATATTAATAAATCGTTTCTGGAAAGAAACAGTCATTGATGCCATACAAGCTTTGGCATTGGCCGACCTTCACTCTGGTACAGCGAAGGCTTCGTTCATCCTGTAGCACGTAATAAATCTTTCATCACATACAAATAGATCTCCTTACTGGCTGAACCTTCAGGCCTTGTTCACACCAAATGCAGAGCAGATCCGGTCAGGTTTCTGCACACGCACGCTAGTCTTTTAGAAGCGTTTTTGACGTGTTTTTGGCTAAAAAAAAAATAATATATATTTTTTAAAAGTTTCAAATGGGCTTTCAGTGCGTTCCAGGCATTTGCATGCGTTTTTGATGCGTTTGCAGATCCAGAGCAGGTAAAATAGGGCCTGCTGCAGTTTTTTCACCTGCTCTGGAACTGCACGCTGCAATGTGAACTGGAGCAAAAAATACCATTGGAATACATTGGACGCAGTTTTGATCCGGTCTGCAACTGATCTGCTCTGCACCTGCTCCGCGCTTGGTGTGAACAAGGCCTCAAAGACCGCTTACTCAGACTTTGTGTGTTTTTCTGTGACATGCACAGATCTTCTGGAGTTGATGTATCCAACAATAGAGTCACAGTTATGATACATGCCCATGCCTACCAAGGTGAGGCCAATGCCGGTATAGCTAAGTACTGTAAGGTGGCTTCCAAATAGCACTCTAGATAAGACAAGGTTCCCCACCACATTTAGGTTGCCAAGGACGTGTATGGTGACAGCTGAGGTCAGTGTGATGACACAGAAGCTTGCCAGGTTGTACAGAACAGATCCCAAGCAGCTAAGGAGGATGAACAACCAAAGTTTATTGTCACTGTCTGGTGGCCTCTCCCATACCACTCCTCGCTCCAGTAACACTGCAGCCACTAGTAAGATGCAGAAACTGGGTATGGACATCAGGTACAGCAGGGTGACAGAGTGAATGTTCTCCTCTTTAAGAAGTAAACCTGAAAAAAATCAAAATAGAACCTTTTTAACAATATACAAATCAATCCGTTTATAATATATACATCTTACTAAATAGATACAGAATTGTACTTTTTTTTTTAATGAGAAGTTTCAGAATTTTACTTTTAAAGCTGAACTCCAGAATGAGAAACGATTTGTCTAAATACAAGGTACTTGGTGTGCTTTGTGTATTTCTTCCAGATCCAGTCTGGAACTTTATCTCTGTGCAGAAGCTTCCTGTAATAATGACCAGTCACTGCTGATCGCTCTCCTTGTGCAGGGTGACTGGTCTTGTATCTGCCCCCTCCTCTAGTTTTCTGCACACAGCCTGTATAGTTTTCTGCAGGTAGCTCTCCTGGGTCCCTCCCACAGCTCTACTCTCCTTGCGCAGACTATATACAGCGCAGCAATAATGTCACTGTTTCTTTCCAATGTATTAACCGGATTTGCAAAGGAATTTGGTTCAGACAAAGTGGATTCATATCCTGTAGCTATTGAGGAACATATTTGTATAAAAAATGTGTACCCAGAGCTTTAAAGGTTAGCGGTACATTTAAAACTCATTGGCTCTTTGTATACATTCACGTGCTCCAGGGAGCTCAGCAGATATAACGATTACTGCTTGCTCTGTATTTTCTTTACCTTTTTTCAAAAAGCTATTATCACATGCCTAGGCCATTGTAAACATTGGTTTGTGTGCATTCAGCCATCTGCAGTATGCTTGCAGTCTGTATAGCAGGGCTAACAACAACAAAGGGAACCAGGATCCATTTTGATGTGTGTGAATTACAGATTCCATAATTGGCTGACTCGGGTCACATGGGGTAAGGCATAGTAGAGGCTTAAAGCAGGACTCCGCACAAAACTGCTCTTAACCCTTGCAGTAGGGCTTACCCCCACACTTCAAAGGTTAATGGCTTGTATTTGCCTAGGGAAGGGATGGCCAAACTCCGACCCT